GTATAAGCCCCACCCAGGCTTAGCTGTAAATCTATCTTGGGTGAAGGATGTCAGGCTATGAAATACCATTCCAGGTCACTTTAGGAAGTCCTCTGTAAAGAGGGATGGGACAGAGAGAATGTCATGAGGAGAGAAGGTGGTAAAGACTGGGCAGGGGCTAGTTAATGGGCTGCCTGTAGCCCACTTCTGAGATAGGGCTCCTGGCCTAGGGCTGTGGCCACAGTAAGACCTTACCCTGTTCCCGAACCCCTGCCTCCTGGGCAGTGTTAAGTGGGTCCTTCTCACATCTTTGATGGCACTGGATTCTCCTGAACCAAACTGTTGACTCTAAAGGTTCTAGCAGCAATTAAGGGAGAAGAGTACAGGAGGTATAGAGCAAGCCTGGCATAGAGAAGCAAAATCTACAAACTTTAGTCTCAGGGAAGGAACATCCCAGCAGAGTTTGAGTTGGACATTCCTAGAGAGGCCAGAAAATCTATTTCCCATATTAGCAGAGAACTGCCACGGTGGGGGGTATTCAGGTCCCTTCAGCCAGATAGTCTAAATATTGCAGGGAAATGTTCAGACAGCGTCAAGGAGAAACAGAAGCAGCCACTCTTGGGGTGTTTACAGCTCTTGTCTCTCCTTGTTGCACATAAACTTCCTTCTGCCCTACTTAAAAAAAAAAAAATTAAAAAAAATTTTTTTTCTGCAGAACTGGAGTGTGATGGCTGGGATTTGGAGCTTTCCAATTTTCAGAATCCTGTAAACAGTGTTATCAAGCTCAACCTGTTGTCACCAATAGAGGACAGATGACTTAAGTCCCACCAAAGAGAGTAAAATTGCACCTGGCATGGAAATAAGGCCTAAGGTTTCTATCATTGAGATGTCAACCTAGTGTGACTCCACATCAGGCACTTCTAATGACTTCTGACCTGGAATTTTGTAGTTTTCTTTCCCCCAAAGATACTCCCCACCCCCAACATATGTATATTCTATGTACAGGGTGACCACAATGTCAGGATAACATTTTCTTAAAATCCTTACTTGAGGATATTTTTCCATTGATTTTTAAAGAGAGTGGAAGGGAGAGGAAGAAACAAGAGAGATGGTGAAACATCAATGTGAGAGGCATTGATGGCTGCCCGCGACCAAGCTGGGGATTGACCTGCAACCCAGGTACTGCCCTTGACCAGGAATCGAACCCACGACCTTTCAGTGTGCCTGCCTGCACACTAACCACTGAACACACTGCCCAGGGCTGGGTGGTGGTGTTGTTTTTATTGATTTTAGAGAGAGGAATAAGAGAGATAAATATTGATGTGAGAGAGAAACATGGATCAGTTGCCTCCCATAAACACCCCGATCAGGGATCAAACCCAAAACTTAGGCATTTGCCCTGACCAGGAATCAAACCGCCAACTTTGGTGTATGGAATGACACTCCAATGAACTGAGCCACTCAGCCAGGATGGGGTAAACTTTTTATAAGTGCTCGTGGGAAGGTTGAAGGGACACAGGTACAAGGAGTAGGTATGGGGGGTAAGTGGGTTTGAGTGGATGTTTGTGGAGGCTAGTTTGGCGTGTATGCTGGGAGGTTGGGGAGTGTGTTGTGTGTGGATGTGGGGACTGTGGGGGGGGGGGGCGGGCAGTGACCTGGGTGGGGGTCTGTGGGGG